GCAAGAATTATCAATACAATAGTAATGTAATATATTTCTTCCCTCACACGGCTGAAAGACAAGTCCTTCCAATGCATTCTAATACTCAGCATAGTCACCATAATCCTCTTCAGTATCCGCGGCACCCTCTCTGTCCTCAGCACCAAGAACGGCATCATCTAGTTCATCCTGCCACAAGCACCCCACGTCCTACCAAGAGCAGTACCACACAACATTCTAATGGCGCTTCTCAAGCCCAGTTTTTGCAAGCACCGGCTGCTGCCACTGCACCTCCACTTCAAGTAGGTGGCGATTCAGTCTACTAAGTCAACAGAAACACTTGCCTACAAGTCATCGATACTTCTCGATGCTTCTTGAAAGCGCGACCTCCTCTCCAACCTCAGCACACACGAGTGAAGTCAGGTGAACCCTCGATGAATGCCCAGCAAATGGCAGAAAAAGAACAAAATGATCTCAAACTCTAGATTCTGTCAGAACACGAAAGCATATCAAAAATGAGGATGCTCACCAGTATCGACTTTTGGAGGCTTACAATCGCACCCAGCACTTGACCGACGGGACGATCCGCTCTGCATAGCATAGGGTCAATCTTAGTCAAACTGCAAGCAATTGTTTTCGGCGTACAGGGAGACAATCTTGCTGGAAACAGGCTTGCACGGTTCCAGCCCTGAGTGTCTTTTGGTAGAATCCCTGGATGAAGCTTGAATTCTTGCTCTAACCCGTAGGATGTCTGTGAGGATAGAACCACATTTGAGCTCATCAATATCAGCACTAGGCTTGTCGATATCAAAGGAACAGACAACGATAAAACTGGGATCGGAAGCAAAGTTGCAGACCAGGATAGGTATACGCTTTATAATGTATTCATTGACAGTGTCAATGTTGTATTTCATTTGCATATCAGAATGATGGGTGACGACTCGACCACCATGCCTGTTGCAAAAATAAATACAACATCAGATGATCCATGACACCAATGACCCACCCTTGACGAATGCAGCGATTGATTTCTGGTGCTCAAAAGCCTGGGCTTCCACGATTAAGTCAACCTTATATAATGTTTTCCAGCTTCATGGTTTCCACCGTGCTGAGTGCTCCGATATCTGCAGCTGAGGGCATGTTTTATGTCTTGCAATTAGATGAAGAGCAGCATCCATGACTGCGGCATCGTTAAGCTTGGTAGACATCAGAACTTGAATATCGTGACCCAGTCAGTCCATGAAGGAAACATGGTGAATGACTTTCATCCTCTGACCACATCCTGACCGTTCGCAAGGAGGATTATCTTCCTGGTCTAAGCGGTACTACCTGGGTGAGGCATACCTCGTTCCCGCATTTGTAGATCTATGAAAGTGGTTCTCGAGATCAACAATGGATCAAATACAAATGAGAAAGAACACACTTTTAAATGCCTTTAAATCAGCAACAACAGCAAGCACACAGAAGAAATGCATTGTATAAATGAGGATCAAATAAATCTGAAGGGGACAGGAAGACACCTTGCTTTATGTGCTGAATGTTGGCGAAGCTGCGAAGGAACCACCTGAAATTCCTCATCAAACAGTTGACTCTATCTGCAATGCCAGCAGATTGCCACCACCTTGTACTGCCAACAATCTGTATGAAGTTAGGACAAGTCTCAGCGGGACGTGATAAACAACACTAACATTGAATCTACCTAGGACAAGTCTAGGGTATGTCAGCAAGGGTCAAGTACTAGTGAGCAAGAAGGCATACCTCAGCGGGACGTGATAAACGACGCTGAGGTGAAACTACGGGGACAAGAACATATAAGTAAGGGAATCTAAGCGAGGGAAGCTGCCGGTGACATCAGTACCGGTGAGGACGACATATGGTGCAGAAGGTGCCAAGAGATGATAAGGACTAGAAAAGGTAAAGGATGATAACGACTGGAAAAGGTAAAGTAAAGAAGCTCCGGAGGTTCATCCTCCGGAGATGGTAGCATGCACCTGCGTTACATCATTGATCGTCAACACACCCCCTCACTGAGACACCAGTTGGAGGCCGGTGTAGAAGAGGAATCTTGGCTATAGGTGAAGACACTTAAAACTAATGGGTGCTCTACAGCAAGACCAGGATACGAGACAACGACTCAACCCAAAGGACAACCACTGAGAGAAGTTCCTCGGAATAAAAATGGAGGGAAACTCTATGAGCTAGGCAGGCACTAACAGGCGCGAGAAGGTAACGCGCGCGAAGGCACGCATAAGCGAGGCGAAGGCGCGCGTGAGCGGGAGGTTTGAGAATGTGCACACACGAAGCGATGGCACGCTAAGAGCGTTAAGGGAAAAGATCCTTAATGAGGAATGGATGCTCAGATGATAGTTGATAGAAGGATATGATCTGATTTCAAGCAGGGAGGTGATCTATACACTTTCCAGTACCCCGAGATAAGGAGAAAGTAAGTACCAGAACCAAAAAGAATCCCTCTGTATTTAAGAAGGAAGATTTCGCTATGCGGCGCGCTTCCGAACCGAGTAACCATATCAACTCTAATTATAACTAAGTTTAAATAGTCTTTCTATATGTAGCGCGAACATCGGACCGAAGATTTCGTTAGTTCAATGAATGAGATAGAAATAACGCACCAGCAAATCAGTAAGGACATGGGATGAATGGATGGACAGTAGCGCGAAGACCCAGGAGGAGGCGCACGAACACGCGCACAAATTGCGCATAGCGTGTGCGCAGGTAAGGCGCGCCTGAGTGCGCGCGAGTGTACCTAAGGCGCACAAGTGCGCATGAGACTGGCCCTTTGGATTAGAGCTGGATCATATAGGAATGTATGGGTAAGGGTCCCATACTCAGCATTGAGGCGCACGAGTCTCTACACCGGGCATGTGTTTTTCGAAGAGTGGACGCAGGAGTGCTTTCGTCAAGATATCTGCCATGTTTTTGTGCGATGAGACCCATGTCAGCAGGAATGTGCCTCGTTCAACATGCTTGCGAATAAAATGATACCGCACATCAATATGTTTCAAGCGGATGTGGTTCCTAGCCTCTGCTGACAATGAAATCGTGCCCGTGTTGTCCATATGGATGATGATGGGGAACGGGATGTTAATGTGGAGAGCGACAAGGAGGGATTTAATCCACAAGCCTTCCTGAATGACATGCATGGCAGCCATGTACTCAGCTTCAGTTGACAACAGTGCGTGTGTTGTCTGCTTCTTTGAGACGTGAGCTATGACACCCCCAGCGTAAAACCAAATATATCCTGAAATAGACAGGCAATCTATGGGAGAGCTGGCCCAGTCGGCATCACAGTAGGTGTGAAGGTCGTCATCAACATTGGCACCCCTGTAGTGCAGACAGAGGTTGATGGTGCCAGAGAGATATCGCAGGAGCTGCTTTGCAGCTGCATAGTGTGCAGGAGTAGCATTGGAATTGTGCTGTGCGAGTGAGTTCACGGCGTAGGATATGTCTGGGCGGATGCAGACTGCAAGGAAGAGCAATTCACCCACGAGTTTGCGGAATTGGGTGAGGATGTTGAGTACTGCGTCATGGGTGTCATCAGGCTTGCCGAACGGGTGGTGAGAGTCGAGAGGGAGACGGACAGGATTGCAATCGAGCATGCCGTATTCCTCTAGCAGATATGTGATATACTCACCCTGGTGCAGCCAGAGTTGATGGGAGCCTCGGTTACATTCGAACTGTATGCCGAGAAACTTAGTGACTGGGCCCATGTCCTTTATCCCAAAACGCTTGTGAATCTGCTGCTTCACCTATGTCAGGAATGATGGTGAGTTTGACATTCCCATACCGTCATCCACGTGGAATCCGATTATACAGACAATGTGAGTGCCAGTTGCATGACTGTCGAAGATGAAGACTGCATAGTCGACCTCACAACGTGAGAAGCCCAACTCTCCCATGACTGCTCTGACCTGCTCGTACCACTCCATTGCAGACTGCTTCAAGCTGTATATAGTGCGGAGCATCTGCCAAACCTGCACCCTCCAGTCGCCCTCTTCAAAGCCTCTAGGTTGGCGCATGTATATGTCTATGTCCTCCTTGAGTACGCCCCAGAGGAAGGCTCGAGTTGTGTCAAATGAGTGGAGCTCCCAGTCGTTTTTGCAGGTGGGAGCAGCGATGAGGCGTAGGGACACAGGTTTTTAGTACTGGCATGAATGTTGCACCGTAGTCCACTCCCGGTATCTGTGAAAACCCTTGAGCGACAAGGCATGCTTTGAATGCTGATCCTCCCTTGTTGTCTTCTTTGAATTCGAGAACCCAATGGTTGCCTATTGCTTTGCGACCGCTGGGGAGGGGAGCGAGCTCATAGACGTGCATTTCGTCCATAATGCGAAGCTCTTTTCACATAGCCGCCAGCCAGTCGTCGCAATCAGTGCGCAATATGGCTTCGTCGTACGTAGCTGGGGGAATTTGCATGTTGTACCCAGGGCTGTTGGGGTCTCATTTGCGGTCACTGCGGATGGTGATATGTGCGTGCTCTTCAATCATGACGTTAGCGTAGACTTCGGGAATGTCGACATTCGGCTCTATATCCACTAAGTTCTCCTCTATTCCTGCGTCTATTCCTGCATCTTTTCCTTCATCTATATTTGCCATCTCCCTCACCCCTTCACTCGAGTGAGCAGACTCTGCCATGTGCGCTGCCCATGAGTTGCGTAAGCGCGCAATACGATCCTTAGTGGCCGTCATCTCCTCTGCGTAGGTGCATCCAGCCGGTGTAAGTACTTTGGCCCTGCCAGAACGCCGGGCAGGTACAAGGGGAAGTGGTGAAGGGTGCTGCGAAGGCTGAGTGATTGGAGTGGCGACAGAGGGTAAAGCAGGAGGAAGGTGATTATCTAAGCTGACCGAGGCACGAGGTCAGCAGAGATTTGAGTCTACGTGCGAACAAGCGAGGTGGCGCAGCACTTCTTGCTTCTGCCCACCTCGCAGCACCCTCTGTTTATTCTAAATGTTAGCATTCTATTCTATTTCTTTTGCTTCTCGGGCCTAGTGCCTGTTCCCATATGCCGTCCGAAGACCCCAATGAAGCCATAAGGCCAGACTTTGCTTTGGATGAATATCAAGAAGCGCGTCAGCAATTAGTCGAAGACGGCATTACTGCGGAGCAAGCCGCTTGTTTGCTAGCAGCGCTATGGACCATCAACAACAATGCTGATAAGGAATGTTGGGCACTCAAGCAACGTCAAGCGAGGCTCACCCGTCAGAGGGAAGAAGACGAAGAAGAAGAGCGCCTGCAACAGCTCAGAGAGGAGCAGGAAGCAGCTCGCCTAGAAGAAAGGAAGAAAAATAAAAACAAGTACGCACCGCTCGTGCGTGGTAAGGTCCCATCCGATCCAACCATACTTCCTGCCCAATACGCGACACGCAAGCTGAAAGCTGGCGATTACTGCGAGCTTCATTACTTCACCAACAGAGGCCTGGACGAGGCCAAAGCATCCAACCTGATAGCGGAGCCGGATGCGTTAGTCATGATTCCATCCACGGACGGCCTACATTCGTGGGTACCAGCCGCAGCAGTGAAAGATCCCAAAGCTGCTCCGGTAGTCAAGGATGAGAATCTTACTTGGGAGGAATTCAACGAAGCTGCCCCCCACATGATCTCCATGATGAAAGTATATGACTGGCCAGAGGACCGAATTCTGATGCACGTCCAGTTCTGGTCTGCGCTTCAGTCGCACCACTGGCGTCACGTCGCAGACACCCTCAAACAGAAAGCATTGCTCCTCTACCAATCACAGCAGCGACGATGCTGGCACCTCACCATCGGATCATCTCAGAGCTGGAGTCTCGAAGAGATCAACCAGGACTTGCTGTTCGAGGCGAGGGAGGAACTTTTCAACGAGAAAAGGGAGAGAGAAACCTCAGCGGCCATTCAGGTCAGTTTGCTCGTCATTTATTTCTCACAGAACCAGAACTCATCGTTCTTCATTAATCATACCACCCTTTTCTCGGCCACTTCACCTATTCAAATTTTCCAATCTACTCATCGTCTCACCTGTTGGCCATCATGTGCCGACACGTGGGACCAACCTTTCTCACACATTGACTATCATTGTCACTCGTATGCATCGCGCGTGGATATCACATCCAAAACTTGTCGGACATCACGCTCCGTACAATCTGCGTATCTCGCAACCGCTGCGACATCGGTGATCATCACCTCACGTCATCATGACTGTGCATCGCGCGCCGCTTCAAATGCAAACCGAAACCTGCAGCGAGCAGCGTCAGCCTTTGCTGCAGCCAATCATAGCGCCCCGTGGCATCAAGCTGCGGGACAACCCCAACCATACGCATCATCGCAGAAGCGGCCTTTTGCGCATGCCGAAGACTCACCGGGCAGCAGCAAAAAGGTGCGAGTTTCCCACCCTCCAGCCGCTGCAGGGACATTACCATGCTGCACAGTATGCTTGGGGAGACACCCGCATCGCATGGTTGAATGCACAGCCACGCAAACCTGGGACAAATGTTTCGATACTTTCTCCGAACAGATCTGCAAGGGCCTTTGGACAAAGGATGGGAAGCAAGTCTGCACAGGTTGGCAGTGAGAGGAAGGGTGCTCCACCCCCAAACACGACACTCACCATGTTTGCTCGGGGTGCAGAGCCAACACTCATGGCGCCCAGAAATGTCCTAGAGCGCAGAAAGTTAGCACCTCTGACGCCATATAAGGCTGAAGCCTGGGAACAGGAACTGCGCAATGCAGAAGCCCTGGATCAGTTTTCCAAAGTACCAGAAGGCCTTAGATTAGGCTTCAAAGTAGATTTTCCCTCCATCTCAAATGTACAAGCTCCGCCAAATAAAGATTCTGTTTTCGAGTTTTCAAACGAGTTTGACAGCATCATACGGAAAGAATTGTTCAAGGAACGATACATTGGACCTTTCTCAGCCACATCGTTAGAAGGCCTTATAGGCCCTTTTCAGTCCTCGCCTATGTCTATCATTCCCAAACCAGGGAAACCAGGCAAGTTCAGACTCATTCAAAATTTCTCCTTTCCGCACTCCACAAACAAATCATTCCCTAATCCATCAGTAAACTCCTGCATCAACGCTAACAATTTCCCCGCTATTTGGGGAAAATTTTCGGTGGTCTATCGGCTGATCGCAAATCTTCCCCCAGGATCTGAAGCCGCAACGCGTGACATTGCAGAAGTGTATTGAACAGTTCCGCTCCACCCGTCCCAATGGCCAGCGGGCGTCGTACGCATTTCAGAGGACCAGTTCTGCATGGATACCTGCGCAGCGTTCAGAGCTGCACCTTCCACAGGAGTGTATGGCCACGTCGCTGATGCCGGAGCCGAGATCTTCCGAAACAATGGCATCGGCCCTCTAGACAAATGGGTCGATGATCATCTCTTTCTCCGGATCAGATGCGAATACTTAGAGCAATACAATGACTTCAGGAAAGAATGGAACAAAGTATTCGCTCAAGAAGGCATGTGACAATCAGGCAGCTGCCTCTGGTTCGGTGACATGTGTCCCTGAGACCAAAATTCTAGAAGAACTAAGTGAAGATTGTTCTAAACCTTTGCAGGATCGTTCGCACCGGTCACCAAGATCCAAGCACAATGAACTCTTTGGTTATTGTATGCAAGACATCGATGAATTATCCGAAGACTTAGGTTTAATTTGGGAACGGTTGAAAGACCAGCTGTTCAACATATTCACGACGTACATAGGATTCCTTTGGAACATCGAGCTAAGAGTTGTTTCACTAAGTCCACCTAAGGTGGACAAGTATCTAGCAGCCATTCACGAATGGCGTAAGCGTCACGCGCACGTCTTGCAAGACGTGCAAAAATTATACGGAAAGTTGCTGCATGCTTGCACAGCAGCTCCCCGAGGCCGAGCATACCTAACCGGCCTTGAGGAGATGATAGCTCACTGTGGGAAAAAACCATTCCTTCCGCATCGAGCAGGAGAGAACGTCGAAAAAGATCTCATTTAGTGGTCTTTACTCTTGCAATCAGGTGGCGTCTCTCGCCCCATCCATCCCTCAAGCAAACTAGCAAACCCCCTGGCATTTTCAGATGCAAGCTCCAGAATAGGGATCGGGGTAGTCATTGGAGAACGTTGGAGAGCGTGGAGACTAGTACCCGGCTGGAAAACTCGAGATGGAAAGAGAGACATTGGCTGGGCAGAAGCCGTCGCATTCGAGCTCCTCGTATACACTATCGCCCTTATGCCAAGCATTGGCAAACGCGTCCTCGTGCACGGGGACAACATGGGAGTCATTGAAGGTTGGTGGAACCGTAGACACAGAAATCGCGCTGTCAATGGAGTCTTCTGAAGGATCAACGAGTTCATTCACAATCTACCCTACCCTTTCAACGTCATCACTACTTACGTCGCAAGCACTCATAACCCCGCAGACAACCCATCCAGGGGGATATTCGGCCCAACACAGCTTCTTCTTCCCCCAATCTGCCTTCCAGCAGAACTTAACAGTTTCCTCGTCAACGCTGCAGAACCTCTATCTGCCACAGAGCTCCACCTATTGCACGAAGGGCACTACTCCGCCCCAGCTGCAAAATTCATCAACCGAGAGCTTGTTAGACAGCAAGCGGAGGAAAGAGCAGGGAGCAGCAGAGCCGAAGAAGAGCGCTTCGAGAAGAGTAGCAATACGAAAGACTCACGTTTTGCAGCAACTCTGCCAATAACTAACACATCGTCCACATCCTCACCATCCCGTTACAAGCCGAACCTGACCCCAAATCTGTCTACTCTGTGCCCACATTGCCTAGCCCGAGACCGCTTGAGGCTTTGGGTACCGGCAGGACGCAGTACTAGGCAAAATTCAGTATATAGTTCAAATGTACCTAACCACGAAATCTCAGATGCACAATTAGAGCGCATTCTAGAAGTCATTGGATCAGCATGGGCTCAATCGACAAAAGAAACCTACGGAGCCGGCCTCCTCGTTTTCCATGTCTTCTGCGACTCAAACAACGTCGAGGAGGGCAAGCGCTGCCCTATAGCGCGCAACCTACTCCTCGATTTCCTGTGTAGCTGCGCTAGATCCTACTCCGGATCAGCGTTAGCCAATTACGCAGCAGGGTTAAGGGCATGGCACCTTCTTCATGGTAGGGAATGGCAGATTCCCCCCAAAGAACTCAAGGCGGTCCTAGATGGAGCAGCAGCATCAGCACCAGCCGGATCCAAGCAACCAAAACGACTACCTTTCACGATAGACTCCCTATCCGCCATCCGCAATCAACTAAACCTAGATGCTCCCCTCGACGCCGCCATTTTCGCGTGCCTCACTACCACATTCTACGCGGTAGTGAGGCTAGGAGAGTTTACTGTAGGCGCCATTAGAGAGTATGACCCCAAGAAACACATACCAAAAACCGGTGTTTCGGAGTCCACAGATCGTAATGGCCTGCTGGTGACAAAGTTCCACCTGCCAAGCATGAAGACTTCACCAATAGAGGGAGAGGTAGCATGCTGGGCTGCGCAAGAAGGCCCAACAAACCCAAGAGCGGCATTAGACAACCATTTCAGAGTGAACCCAGCAGAAGGAAAGGCGCACCTTTTCGCCTGGAAACACCCCAAAGGTCTGCGGCTGCTCTCAAAGAAAGAATTCACCAAGAGACTTGGAATATCGGCTGCAGCAGCAAAACTTCCAGACCTGAAAGGTCATGGACTCCGCATAGGTGGAACGTTGGAGTACCTCCTTCGAGGGATACCATTCGAAGTCGTGAAGACCATGGGAAGGTGGTCCAGTGACACTTTCACAATATACCTGCGAGAACACGCGTCAATACTTGCCCCCTACATTCAAGCTTCTCCAGTTTTGGAGCCGTTCACGCGTTATACGATGCCGCCGATTCGGTAGAGCAATCGTGAGTTCTTCTCCTAAAAATTCTGGCTAAAGCTTCGCTGTATGTGTCGTTGAACTCCTAATTTGCAGGAACACAGCTCACCTTTGACCGCAGGACGAACTCATGCTTTAGACCGGAGAGCCCTTCGGGCTTTCGCCCAGACACCGCAACAAACAAACCTAACATTCCTAGACAACTCGATTCTCGCTACAAGTTCATCGTTGACCTGCCATCAAGAAGCACCAAGCAGTGAAGCACATAGATGAGTCGTGGGAACCTCATCCTCGGAATCAGAGTCCCGAGACTCGGGACCTATAGTGGGGAAGCGCTCGTCAAAAATGACATCATGAGCAGTAAAGAAGGACCCATTGCTGTCGCATAGACAATAGCCTTTTGTACCTTCGTAGTAGCCTACAAAAATGGCACGACGTGAGTGAGGACCGAGTTTGGTCTGCAGCTCGGTGGGAATGCATGCGAAGCACTTGGAGCCAAACACCCGGAGGTAAGAAAGATCAGGCTTTTGGCCATTCACCATCTCATAAGGAGTGATGTCCGAAGGTAGGGTGCTCGAGGCACTTCTGTTCCACAAGTAGCATGTCGTGAGTGCCGCCTCTCCCCAAAGGTTCGCAGGGAGGCCCGCTGTTTCCAACATTGCAAAGAGGCGACCCTCGATTGTGCGAATTGCACGCTCTGCCTTTCTGTTCTGTTGATGAGCGTAGGGTGCGGAGAGCTGTTGCTCAATCCCGGAGTCCTGAAGGTCCTTCACGAAAGCCTTACTAAGGAAC